CGGTGGGGGGGGGGGGCTTAAGCCACCCCGCTGGCGCCGCCACTGTCCCCCACCACTCCCTGGTGAGATTGAGCTTAGGATTGTTTAGGCTATGGTGGTTGACAATGTTCAGCAATTTGTTGTTCCGTATCAGTTTGCCTATTCTGCAAAGAAAGGCGTGGAGGATGCAATGACTATTTTTTTGCACCCTATTTTTGAACATTCAGATAAGCCTAAAACTTATGTGAGATCTTTATTTATTAACTTTAGCTCGGCTTTCAATACTATGCAGGTTGATATATTAATTCAGAAACTTGTAAATATGAATATCTATGCAGTAATGATTTTTTAAGTAACCTACACAGAGAGTAAAAATTAACGATTCTCTATCAAGATGCGTTAATCTAATACAGGGGCGCCACAGGGATGCGTTTTATCCCCTTTACTGTTTACATTATATACAGGTGACTTTAAGTGCAATACAAACTCTTGTCAGGAGTAACATTTGCTGATGATACATGTATTACTGGCTTTTTCTCAAATAATGATAAAAGTACCTATAGAAATTTAGTAGATGAACTTGTTATTGGTGTAATGATAATCATCTTCAGATTATTGTGAAAAATACCAAAGAGATGACTTCGACTTCAGAAAGAACATGTACGTCCTATTGCATCCCTTGAAATAAGTAACAGTGATATTGACACGTGAACAGAATACACTTTGAGTTTGGTTTGATGATAAATTGAATTGGAATGTTAACGCCACTAAACTACGTTTTCTAAAGCAAACCAACGTCTATATTTTTTAAGGAAACTTAGAGTTTATAATGTTAGGCAGAGATGCACTCTTTCCTCTTTTTTTTTTTTTTTATCATTTTTTGTCACGGTTCAATCTGTGGTTACATATTGTTGTATTGTGTGGTTAATGGGTTTGACCAGAAAGAGACCAACTCAACAAGGTAAAAAAATCGGCAACAAAAAGTGTAGGTACCGTATTGATAGTGTACCGTATATGTAGGCCTAATCTACGAAACGTCGGAAAGTTTTGACTGTATTTTCCGGGTTTAACAAAAAAGAAAGAGAAAACTAATAACCTAATTAAAATCGGTTAAGAGTGTGTTTTTCCCCGACGAAATGATTGGCTCCTTCCAAGACGGGGAATCCTCGGAACCTCCCACCAATGTCGCCAGTGTCGACAGGTTGGTTAATCATAATATTAGGCCTATACATAATTTAATTGTATTAAATTCTGTTCGGGCCTGTTTCTACTGACCATAAAGAACCGTTCTTTTTAAAAACGGTTCTTTCGGGCAGTAGAAACGGGGCCACAAAATACTCCTTTCTTTTTGGAAGGTTTTTTTTTTTTTTTTTTTTTTTTTTTTTGGTACGGAATCCCCGACCCTCATCACTCTAAATAAGTTTGTCCTGCTTTTTAACTTAGTGTCTAACTCTGATCGACGTGTCACGTGTGCGTCCCGCTTGTGGACGTTTGGGGTTTGGAATGTCTGCTGTTCTCTCCACCCCTCATAAAATGTTCATTAAAGAAGGAAGTCATTATGACAACAGTGTACGTTTGAGAAATGATTTATTTATTTTTTTAATGACATAATGTAATCAGTGGACAGGTTAACAAAGCAGGCTATAGAAGGGAAAAACCAATTAACATAATTATAATATTAGTAATATTATTTTGAAGGTCTGCGAATAACAATTCATCGAGTGTTGAAATATCTTGGCATTTTGAATAGATTGCTCTATTCGTCTTCTCTTGATAAAGAATAGAGCAATCTTTCGAAACGTCGAGATGGGTGTACCACAGCCAAAGTGATGAAGCTGCAAGGTCAAATCTCTGGAATAGAACCGGCCCAGCTGTTAACCCAGGGCTGCGATCCATAATACACGATAGTTTATAGTAAAATAGACTTATAAGAACATAACCAGAAACGAAAGGCCGGATAATGCAACTTACTGTACATACTAAATACGTTGGCTCACCTATAGGCCTATAGAGAAGAAAAATAATACCAACCTGTATATAGGGCTTCGTGATGAAAATTGGAAACAATTCTTCACTCTCATCTTACGGAACGGTATAACCCTAGAAGCACTTACGTGGGACAGATATCAATATGATACGCCTTTTTCTTTAGCATTTAAAACGAAATCTCAATAAAGATAGGCCTAGTTTTCAACGTAAAAACTCCAAGCCACTGATCTTGCAGTATAATGCTGAGAAAGAAGCCTATGAAAATTTCAAAAGATATGAAGTAGGCCTGATAAGAGTAAAAACAATCGCTTCAATATGGAGGCATAACAATTTAATTCGAATACAATTTTCTTTTTGCATGAATATATCGAAAATTATTAGGTAGTGTTTAAAACATCGAAATATAGAAACATGTGATAATCTTATCAAGCTAAAGAAAAATCCCGTTCAGTTGCATGAAGAAAGTGTCTGGCGGGAAAGACATTTTTGTTGAAGAGCTTCGATTACCACTATCGTAAATGCTCGAATAAAGCGCCGCTCTCGAATAAGAGCGCCGCATAAACCTGATTTTTGTAGCTAAGCGCCGCTCTCAAATAAGTGCCACGGCGCTTAATCGAGAGTAGCCTATATATTACCCTGTGTGTAATGAAACACACTGAGAAACAGGGTTTTAAATACAATGCATACAGTGTTAAAATGAATAAATAACACAATGAAGAGCATTTCTTTATTAACGTTTACTTACAATGACGTAGGACCTATGAAGAAAGGCGCATGATCTACTGAACTATGGGAATACGTGAGATAATGGCAACGGGCATCATGTAAAGCGCAACGCCTATTATTATCATTATTATTAATATTATTATTATTATTAGGCCTATTATTAGGCCTATTATTATTATTATTATTATTATTATTATTATTCTGCTATATTTGCGTACAATAATAGGTACCATACTGTGTATAGACAAGTCTATATTGTATATTGCTGCTTGATAATAGTCGTGTTCGTTCGTATGGCTTCATTATTGTTTGCTTTCATTTTGATTAGGACGATTAACGTTTGTTATTGTTAATTTTCTTTTGTTTGCAAATTTCATCACAAGGCTTTTTATATTTATTGCTACGCTACCCGTGGATTATAGTTGTTAGTTACTTCTTTTTGTATTGATTTTAACGATGAAAGCGAAGTTCATATAAAGGTAACGCAGAAATATTATTTTATATTTGACACTCAAATGAAAATATTCAATTTTTCCGTTTATCTTTACGTGACCCCTAACCCTACCGTTTTCTGTAATAAAACGGTCTAAACTCATTAGCCACATAGCATGATCAAGTAATTACTGTTGTTAGTTATTTCCATTCGTATTG